TGACATGATGGAAATGAATTGGAATTGATTTGATAGAAATGAATTTTGTTTGGTTTGGGGGTCTTAGGCAGTTATTTAAAACACTAGTGTAGTCAAAAGCTTTAGAGCATGAAAAAGCAATTTTACAGAATCCAATTCAGAACAATTAGGTAAATACCATATATACTCATGTGTAAGTTGAGTTTTTCCAGCACATTTTTAATACAGTTTTTGGGGTAAAATTAGGTGCCTCAGCTGGTATTTGGGCCGGCTTATACTCAAGTATACATGGTAACTTTTCTAAGCATCTTGGGTCAGTTTTCTGTCACTTACATTTTCCCTTTTAGTATATACATCACATGTCAACCCACTCCCCACTCCTCAATTTTGGGCATCAGGCATTATATTCATTCTAGATACTACCATATCTGATCACTTATTAAGAACTCTAGTGTTTTGTTTGGCTACATAGAGCTTTTTTCCACCGAAGATCTACCAATATCCTAAATGATGTCAGTGGGAGATGAATTCTCCAAAGTTACGACACCATTCCTCAAGAACAAGGCGCTTCACCTAAATCATCTATTACAAACATGGTCATACACCAGGACTTTGGCACTGTGTCTCTGAAGATTTTCAACCTCTTTGATAGTTGCACTTGCCTTTCCAAATAACTCACTCCCTTATTAGGCTCTTTAACCCTTTTTATTTTTCTTCCTCTGATACATTATTTAAACTATCCTCAACTCTCTTGGTCATTTTCCTTTTGTCATAACTATCCAACAAAACCCAAAGTCTGGTGCTTCAATCATTCTATTTATTTCGTATTGATGAATTCTATTGGGTGGGTGGGTGGTGGCAGAATTATATAGCCATCACAAATTTAAGAGATTCCCTCATCACTTCTGTATCCCAATTCATAGTTAATCCTTCTCTTTATATGGTTAGTCTCTTCTCCCACTTCAAATCACCACACTCAAGTGCCTGTTTCCTAACTTCCAGAGATCTTTTTCACTGAAAAAAAGAAATCCAGCAACAACTTTGACTAATACTCCCTCAGTATCTTGAGAGTCCCCCCCCCCTACCCCAAAATACATTACTATATAAACTTTTAAGTCCCTCTCTCCTGTTTAGGAATAAATTTCTCTCCTTAGGTTCAGGGTCTCACCCATTCTTCAAATTTGCCATATCCCACACTTGAGATTTATAAGTTTCTTGGAGGAGGCAAGAACACATAAAGCCCAGGCTAAACCCACTGCTAACAAGTTGATTCCAACTCACAGCGACCCTATATAAGGCTCTGAAACCAGCAATCTTTATGAGCGCAGCCAGCCTTGTTTAATCCCAAGGCTGGTGGGTTTGAACCTCCTATTTTGCAGTTAGCAATCTAGGTACGTAAACCATAGTGTCACCGTGCTCCCTGCACACAGGTGCACATTACTCACTGCTATTTTTTTGTGACATTTTATTAGGGGCTCATACAACTGTTATCGCAATCCATACACACATCAATTGTGTAAAGTGCATTTGTACATCGTTCTCAAAACACTTTCTCTCCACTTAAACCCCCGACATTACTCATTGTTATTGAGTCAATTCTGACTTGAGACCCCAAAGTGCAAAGTAGAACTGCCCCTGTGGGTTTTTGAGGCTACAAAGCTTTCCAGGAACAGAAAGTCTCATCTTTCTCCCTAAAAGTGGTTGGTATGTTGAACTGCTGACCTTGCAGTTGGCAGCCCTATGCATGACCTACAACATTCCCATGGCTTCTGAATTCAAAGAAAATTATTCCTATAGGTGCACAAAACGAATCAAATGTGAATAGTTTGTTCTCAAGATGATCTAAAACTTCAACTTCAATTGGCATTATTTCCTTACTTGCCTATTTCTAAGATGCATTAGGGTGAAGGAAAAAGCTGTTGGTGCAATTCAAAGTTAATTCCCTATATAGTCACACCAATGTAGTTTTCATCTGATATTATGAGTACTGTATGTTGTAATACTCTTTAGAATATCCATAGTAAAAAATAAAAAAAAAAGACTATCCATAGTAAGATAGGTTAAGTGGCACATGAACTCTAAAAGGACTAACAATATCATAAATGATACGTTATCTATACCTTTTCCGTAGTAGACCCTTCTATTTTATATCACATCTTCAAATGCAAAAAAGTGGAACATTTTCCATATTGTTGCTTCTCCATAACAGAAATAAATTTTTTACATATATTTTTAAAAATCATTTTATTGGGGGCTCATAAAACTCTTACCACAA